GGCGGGGCAAACTATTACTACTGGCGGAAAAACACACAAGGGCAGGAAGGGCTCTGAAACGAGAGGGACAGGTATAAAAGTACAAAATAAAACAAGAAACACATACAAAATTAAACTGACGGACTGTGACACAATATTACATTATTGAGGCACATTGGTGCATAGAAATATCTATAGGTGTCATTAGAAATCAATAAATTGTTTCATTTACAAATCTTTAGACATTTTTCCGAATTCCCAAATGTCTTTTATCACTTAACTGAGGCTTATTACTTATCACTTCTCACTTCTTGTAAAATGTGGCCATAACACATTATTACATTATGTGTGTTATTTAGCATTTTTTAACATGTTATGAATGCTTATGTGTTAAATATGACACCAAACTCGGGTGGCCAGGCAAGAGGACGTAATTCAGTCCAGATTTTTGTGAATACTGCTGCATCACTACCACGTGGGCTGAGTAAACAGAGCACTGTGGTACCAGAATTCAACTCTCAACTCTCAAATGATTCCTTCATATATTTATTATTGCATAAGTTGATTACAGTATAAAGGCTTTAAGTTTTAATAGTAAAGAAGAGAATTAAGGAAAGGCAGTTCAGCACATTTCATACACAAAGACAACTCAAAGTGATTTACATATAAACAAAAGCAAAAGCAATGAAACTGAAAACAAGACAATTAATGAATTGAATAAAATATAAAGATTTAAAGGTCTAGTGTGTAAAATGTAGGAGGATCTCTTGAGAAATATTTAATATAATATTCACAGGTCTTCATTAGTGTCTAATTTAGTGTCTAAAAGCAATGAAACTGAAAACAAGACAATTAATGAATTGAATAAAATATAAAGATTTAAAGGTCTAGTGTGTAAAAGGATCTCTTGAGAAAAATTTAATATAATATTCACAGGTCTTCAATAGTGTCTAATAGGGCTGCATGATATGGTAACAAAATTATATTGAGCTGTTTTTATCTACAGACTGGGCGGGTTCTCTTCTTTACGACATTCACTTTTCTTTTATTCACCAGTTTTCATTCACAGCTTTTTTCTGCGGCGCTGGATCAAACTTCCATCAATAATAAACTTTGTTTCAAACAATTACCACTTTCTCCAAAAATGTACGTGACTTCGTGAACTTTGATTTTGTTTGTGAACTTGTAGGTTTCTCTAGAACTCTTTTACACTGTAAAAAATAAAATACTTTTCCTCATAAACTGCAACAGTCGAAATACAACAACTGTCAATAGACAACAAAAGAGTTTGTCTTTAGATTTTGAGGGGATAACAAGAACTCCAATAATCAAGCTAGACTTTCAGGTCACTGAAATCTAATCTTTGTGCTGACTGGGACGGTTGATTGCAGATTGAAAGTCTCTGTTTTCATACCAGACTCTGAACATAATGTTTAACCACAGAAACCAATGACGTCTTAGGGAGAGACAGATAAAATTCAAGCAAGGTTAAAATAAGATGTGACTAAATTAAGCCCTGTTGAACACAAGCTACACAAATCTAACTGACAGACCACAAAAAATAAAGACAAATGATAAAAGTATGAATCAATATATTAAGGATCTATCTTCATCACCACGGGGGGGG